GTGGGATGCTTTCCCTCTCCACTGATGATGCATGAAGAGACTATGGAGACTGATTGTGATACCCTTTTATATTTCTAAATTTAAGGTAGACAAATATGCTTTTGATAGAGAGGAGGATGTTTGTGTTACTGGTGTAGTTTCTTTAAGTTTTTTGTCTGGAGAAACAAGTAGGTAAACAGTGCAAATGGAAGGAACTAGGCAAAAGCTCAGTAATGCTGACTCAGACAAGTATCTGTTAAATATAACTATTATAACACATAATTTTTAATGTATCTAAAATGGAATTCTTTCCTTCAGTCCTTAGGGGTTAATAGAAGGGGAAAAAGCCAATATACAGTGGTGTTGGGGTTTGTTTGGTTTGGTTTTTTGTCTGTTGTTTTTTTTGAATCTAATCTGTTTTTATTGCTCCCTTTTCTTACTTTACCGTGATACATGCAATTCATGAGAAAGCAATTGGTTTTTAGCAAAACCAAAAGTTTTCGCTTTATGGAATACTCTGGTCGACAGCGGTGGTTTCGTACTTTCAGTGTAGGTGCCATTTTTGTTGTTTCAGTTCATGTAAATAATACTTAGGACCTATGTACTGTATTAATCATAATAATTACATAGAAGTTAAATATAACAAGGGTTGGCTGATAAATAGATTTATGGATGGAGAAGTCTGCAATGATAATTTAAAAAAGTGTTTTACAGTGAGGGGATCAGTGAATAATAACAACTACTGTGCAATTTATATTCTAAAGTAGATTATTAATACCTGTAGCTTGTGCTGAGAGCGATTCACCATTGCTTCCAAAAGGGTGTTGTAACTTCATTCTTTCTGATTTTTCTTGTCAAGGCTTGCTTTTAGTGACATTTATGTAGATATGTGAAACTTCCTTTATGTGAACAAAGAATTATATTTGAGGGAGCATTATTATTATTATTATTTGCACTCCAAAACTCATTTGATATTGTTTGCTGATTACTATTTGACTTCTCAAAATTTCCCACCAATCCTTAGTCTGTGGGGTTTGAGTTTAGTGGTTATTATTCTTTGTCTAGCCTTATTTCCTCAGAAAGATGCAGATGATCATCTGGGCAGAAAACTTACTTAATTTAGCCAATATGAAGAGTGTGTACAGAGACTTTGAATAATAAAATAATTGTGAGTAAGAAATGTTGCTGCTGTTATTATGGAAATAGGAGCTTGTAAGTGGCTTTCTTTTGTCCCTGTTTGTTTTTATTATATTCCAGGACAGAACAAGGAACTGCATTCCTTGGGTTCTTTCTGTCAGTTTATTGATCATTACAAAATATAACGTGTCCTGACCTCAGTCTGTGACAGCGCAGGATATGAGCACACCAGAAACAGGAAGCCAGCATCGGAGTTGTTCAGAGCTGAGCACAAGCAGTTGTGTGAGAAAGCTGAATCACATATTTTTAATGTGCAGAAACGCATCTTTTGAGCACTTCCAAGTATTTTGCAATATAACTTTTAATATTAGAATTTTCCTGGAACATGTAATATTATAATGGTTTTGATGTTGAACGTTGTTGTTAGGGTGTTTCTTTAGAACAGTCCTCCCTAGTTATACTTTCCTTTGAATAATAAATAACTATGCCAAGTGGCTGAAATGAGACAGTCCTTACCAAACCTGCATGAGCCTTTCAATAACAGAAACCAAATGGAAAATGCTTTTAGCGTTTGTCTGTCATTGCTGAAATCTTGACTTGTGTCTCCTTCAGTTGTGCTTGTCTTAATGGATTTTATACAGGAGTTAACAGATTTTGCACATCAGTTGTCTGATTCCTGCTTCTGTTTCTGGCCTTAAAATGTTTATGCAGTTGCTTTGATGCTCTTGTGTCAGTCCTTACTGATCCAGAGTACCAACTTCCATCCCTCAGGCTTTCCCCAATTGTGTTTGCGTTAAGATTGTGTTTGATATCAAAAAGTCTTAAAGCAAAATATAGTGTTGCCATTAATATCACAGTCTCGTATAGTGGGCTAAAAATGTGTGGAATTAGTAAATTGTTAAATGTTTATACCTTGTTTTCAGCCTACCTGGTTGTAGAGCATCTAAAGATTAAAAAAAGCTCAATTTTTGATTCGATGTTGACTGGATTGAAAATTTCAGAGTCTTGAAGACTGAAGATTGTATTGTCTTCTCTCTGGTTATGGTGTCAGAACAGACACTGAATACAGCTGAATTATGTTAAAAGTTGTGTGAGTCACAAAGCAAGGATGGGAAAGGGATGAGAAGCAGGAATGGAAGATGTTATTCATTGTATTCTTGTTGCCTATTGACACGTGCAACTGTAGAAGTAAACTGGGCTTATATAATTAAGGCGTTGACTTAGTACTAACTCAGATAATGGTAGGAGTGTAGCAGGTATTGCATGCTAAAGAACAAGTAATTATTAAATCTGTGGAAAAACTAAGAACCATGCTTTGTTAAGCAAGGTCTTAATAAAGGCTATACAGTAGACAAAATTCAGAATTAATAAATCAGTGTATATAGCTAGATATTAGAGTATGTGGCCTCTTGTTTGTTTTCCAGCCTATCTCAGGTGACTGGGTAATTCAGGACTGCATATGAAGGGTGCTTGATGGGTGTGAGAGAGAGATGCTCTCTGTTTTAGTCCGGTCAGATGTATCGAATGTCAGCTGTGTGCGTAGCGCAGGGAACGTGGCGTATGCCTAGGGGAGTTTATACCCTAAGTTGGGGAAGTTGGATCACTCTGGAGGAAAGTGAATTTCATCTGGGCTGAGATTATATTTAGGACAGTAAGTCTATCTGTCTCAGTCTAGTGTGGGTCTCCTGTTGATGTCAACTGGGTACTTGTACAAGAGATGAAAAATGAATTGTAAACATGGCAACTGTTATGTCTTGCATTACTCACAGCGGACAGGTTTGCTTTTGATATTTCCATTAATTTTCTTTTCCTCATCTGTGTGTTTAATGTGTTGTTTCTTTTTATTTTATTTCGTTGCTGTTCATTACGATGACTCTTGATGTTCTCCCCTGTATGGAACAGCTCTTGCATTCCCATCCTGTCAACATCACTGATCGCTCTCCAAAGCAAATCAGAGTGAAATATTCACATTGAACCAGCATCATGCTTAAGAGATAAGTAATTATTGAGAATTGGCTGTTTTCCAAGTGCAGATTCAGAAGGCAAATATTTTAGGGAAAGGTCAAAACGTTGCTTACCTACATTAGGGTTAACATAGTGTTTGTTCTTTTTGCTCCTTTAACTTTTTGACTGCTGGAAGCAACTCGAGAACTCTGCAAGACAAAATTGAGTGTAAGCTCTGTTCAGCTATAAGCTTATGTACATACAGAAACTGCTTGTTTTGTTGCAAATGCTAAAAAGTTAGGTATGTTTTTTGTTTCTAAGAAAGCAAAAAAAACTCCATCCAACCCTCTAAATACAGACTTCTGACATTCTACCCACCATAGTTTGCTAGGAAATTAATTCTAAATAAATAAAATACAATAATATGGTTCCAAAACTGCTCCATCTGTTATTACTATTTCCATTCTTTGAACTTACTAAGTATAATAAATCCTATTGAATGTCTTGGTTACAGTCAAGCAGATCGTCGGTCATTCTTGGGCCACTTGTAATAGTTCTGATAGATACGTGATATGCTTGAAAAAAGTCATTTGAAGAAGATGCCAAGAGCCTCTCTTTTGATAGCGTAAGACAGTAATATTTGTAATTCTTTAAGAATGTGTAAAAGCCTATGACTTACCTTAGTTATGCACCTGGGAATGTTGAGAAAGAAACAGACGGGAGAAATAACCGACAATATTAATTACAATGTAGGGGCCAATCCTCCAGCATAGCTGAAACATGGATGCTTCGATGAAATTAAGGACTACTCTGAGAACAAGTTGAGTATATTAAAGAATATGGTAGTGCTGATTGTTAATGCAAGAATTTAATAAAAACTGAACAAAGAAATCATTAATAGGGCTTGCTTTCAGATGCAACTTGTTGAAAATACAGAATAAAAGTATGCGTTTAACTGACTGTTCACATTTGGGATATATGCATAATAAAAATAACCAGTAGGCACTGCTGTTAAAGCCAGTGGTACAATCTGTTATGCTATGAAGAGATTAAGACTTTGCAATTCAGTTGAGATGTTACTTTGTGAAAGTCAGTATATGTAGGTCACAGTTTTTTAGTGTGTTCAAAGGCTCTTTGTGTTGCAGAAATGTGATCTGCATCTCGTTGTAGAAGCTGTTTGTTTCTAAAGAAATGTTTAACTCTGCTTCCACTGAACTGCTTCAGGTTTTTATGGCTTTTTTTATGTGTGCATGTATAAGATGTAAAGCTACGAACTGTGCTCTCCTGCTGTGTCTGGAAAACTGCATCTGTTCTTCCAGTGTATAACTGGTGTTTTCCTGTTGTGATGGGTACTTTCCATCCTGTGTGTATATCATCATCCTTCTGTCTGTTGCTGGTTGTTTAAGAAAAGAAATCACTAAAAATATCTTTTGAAGGACTTTTGACAGAGCTTAAATCCATATTCCTGAGCTTCAGCTTCACTGATTAAATATTTCTAGCCATGGTTTATTCATACTGCAAAAGATCTGGCATGGATGAAAGGAAGCAGAAGTGTGACTGGGACTCTGGCAGTCATGTGTGTCGTGTCAAAACCCCCTGAAACATAAGAGGTATATTTGGTTGACGCTAGCTGTGTCAGCTCTGCTTATTATTATTTTTTAGTTCGTTTATGGTGTAAAAGCAATCTTTTATTCCAAATGCCTCTAGTAAATGTATGCTTGGACTTGTATCTGTGTAGTTCAAAAATGAGTTAATATTTTATCTGCTTGAATTCTAGTATTCTTGTTGAGAATGTTCACTGCTTAATATATTGTTCACTGGGTACATTTCTCATAGGGACATCCCTAAGCTTTTCCGTGTTATAAATGACAGGACAAGATTAACTAAAAAAGTGTTTTGTATTTGTATTAATTTTGTTTGTTTGTTTGTTTGTTTTTCAGGTCCATTTTCCAGACACAGAGAGGGCAGAATGGCTCAACAAGGTAAGAGGAGTTATTAGCATAGCTTCCAAAGAGGAGGGGGGAGGAGGGAAATCTGAGGTTAAAAAAAACAGTGAGGCAAGAATCTGAGAACAGAGTAGTTTTAACTTTCTGTGCTCTTTATACACTTGAAACTTCTGGTCATTGATCCAGTTAGTCATGAGAAAGGTTAAGTCTATTTTCATGGTCTTGAAATTGTGAGTTTTGCAGGATGACTTTAAGTGGCATAAAAATAATGACAGCTGTAATTGTGTGGAAGTCATGGCACCTGTAAACACAGTCTTTTATGTTCTACTTGTCTGGGATATTTTCCACCTGCTTTAGGTTCCTGACCTACAATCTAAGAATAAATTGATTTTGCAGTTTTCATTTGTATGTGTGATAATCTGAGATATAGATCTATGTAGCTTGGGTTTTTTAAAAATATCTTTCATTCAAAGACCATAGAAGAAAATTAATTAATTACAAAATAGTGAGAAAAAATAAACAGTATGGAATTTTCAGATATGACAGTAAAATACTGTGTTTTTTACATTTAAAAACCTTATGCATATATTTAAGAAATGCACTTGACCCAGATATTCTATTCTCCTTACCTGCAGTTAAACTTTACCCTCTTCACCCTTCTCCCCAACATTCAGCGTGTACTGAATGCGTACGCATTCGTGGGACAAAAGAAGAAAGTTCTTACTGTTTTTCTCCTCCTCCAGTGCTTCAGATTTGTGCAAATATATAACACACACAAATTGAGAACTCCGGAAAGCTTTCTTGTATGTAAAAAGAAACCAGTTCTTATGTCTGTAATGACCTGTATAGAAAACTTGTATGCTTAAAACTTTGTATGATATTTCTTACATATGCCTTTGAAGAACGTTTTTTAGTTATGTGTGAAGCTGTGTTCCATGTAGAGTTTTGATGTTTGTTTTTTTTTTCCTTAGACTGTAAAACAGATGTGGCCTTTTATTTGCCAGTTTGTTGAGAAACTCTTCCGGGAGACCATAGAACCAGCAGTAAGAGGAGCAAACAACCACCTCAGTACCTTCAGTTTTACCAAAATTGATATTGGTCATCAGGTCAGTGTCTGAAGAAGTTCTTCTAAGAGCCTCTGTCTTACATACTGTTTTCATGTGGCCGGTATAAACAAAATCATTTCTCAATGACATTTGGTGATAAGCCTGATTCTAGTTTCTGTTTTGGCTTTTTTAGCCGAGGCTTCATTTTTATTTTTGAATTTTTCCCAGGGGTATCTGCTTCAGAAATTTGCCTTGGGCGAAGACTCAGAGTATAGTAGCTCCGAGTCATGTGAAGAGCTCATAGCAACATGCTTTTAATACTGTTCATGTAATGCTTTAAGTGAACAGGGACCGTTATCCTTTTCTTGCCAGATGATTGAAGTGTAATTACCTTTCTTGTAACTGGTGAACATTTAATCACATTATGTACAGACTTCAATGACAAGGCTGCTAGCTCAGCTTTCCCAAGGACTGCACATGACATAGTATCAAGGAGCAGATAGTTGTTTAGCTTCTGTTCAGTCCCCTGGAAGAAGAGGTCATAATATATAGTTCTTGCATGCCTGTAGAAGAGCCTGCTTGACCAGTCCAAGCTGAGAATAAGTTGCCTCTTGACAAGAATTTCAGCACTACTTACTCTTACCTGCATCAGCCAGAACTTTACTGCTGTTGAGATGTAGCTTAACAGCTTTTTTGTGAAGTTGTCTTTCATGTTCCTCTTGCTTGTCATAAGCAGGATTTTAAGTAAGGATTTAAAAATCTGTTTCACCACCCCCCCAAATGTTAGGAAAACTGGAGCTAAGTTTCAGGTGTGATGGAGGGGAATTATTTTTCTCTCTTCAAGACTCTATTTCATGTATATTACAGTTCCCTGTACTGCACCTTTTGTGTGGTGGGGTTATGTTTGTTGTTTGTTTTTTTTGGTTTTTTTTTTGTAAAGCTGTAAATCCTTTTACATAGGGCTCTGTCCTGCCCTAGATTCACCTGTATTACAGACTGTAGAATAGCATTCCTTTTAAGCCATGCTAATTTCAAGTACGGTTTAAATTAGCTTCCATACCTCTCTGTGCTTCTGCAGCTGGACTGAGGTATCTGAGACACGAGAAACAGCTGTTCTTACTTTATATCGCAGCCTCGATTGAGTTGCATCGCACGAGCTGCACAGCCTTAAACAATGGGAATCTGACAGAAGTGAGATTTCCATTTTACTTAAATTACTAAAAATTTGTAAATAGAAATATGGCAATTTTTCCAGAAAAGAAAAACTCAAAATGTGACAGAAGGTGGACCAAGGATCCTGGGTCATCCTCTCCCGCCTAATATTTGATGAGTGTTTGAGCCTTGGGAATGTTTAATTGATATGTGTTGTTTCTGTATGAGAGAGACGGAGCGAGAGGGAGAACGTGAGCACAGCGGTTTAGAGAGAGAGCACAGAGTGGCTGACACAACTTTTTCTGGGTATTATGGATTATTTTCCATCCATTCTGACTGAATTCCACTTAAGGCAACTACATATTTGTGAGTTAAATTTAGCTTGTAGTTTTAGCTGCACAGACAAAAATGCTTTCTCTGGGAGTGGTGGACATATACTAGTACAAAGAAATGAGATGTTTATTGAGGGGAGAGGGAATACTTGATATTAAATCTTTGGTAAATCTTGAAATCTAATGGTTTAAACTCAGTGTAATTGCCAGAAGGGTTGTGGTGAGTGGATCCTAGCAAGGTGATTTTTACCCTTGAAATAACATTTTGAGCTAAACTGATAGCTTTGCTTCACACCTTTTAATAATGCTTATAGTAAATTCTTAACTTTAGGCATGAATCTGCATATATTCACCTTTATTTCAAAGTTAAGTGCTTAATATAGTATAGTCCCGTAGAAGAATCCAACTTTTACTTGCTTTGTTGTTTCAGCCTCTTCGGATAAATGGTGTAAAAGTGTACACTGAAAATGTGGACAAAAGGCAGATCATTTTGGATCTTCAAATCAGGTAAACTTTATTATATTACGGTGGTGCCCATGCTTTATAATATGTGCTCGGTTTGATTCAGCAGTTACGTTGGCCTGAAAGGAGAAGAATTGCTTCATTACACAAATGTAGTTAGTTCTAATGGTGTATGAGTGGAGGAAGGAACTGCATGCTGTAAATAGAATTTATCTGAGGGAAATAGTACATCAACTCAGTGTGACTGCATCATTAAAGTAATGTTGGTTAATAAAAGAACACTTTCCAAAGCTAAAGCACTATCTTTGAATTTTTTTTCTGATGTATTGAAACTTTGCCATGAAGTTTAGTCTAGTCTGAAATTTAGGATATAAGATGTTTGGGTGTTTTTACTGTTGTCAGTTACTTAGGTTTTTAATAAACACAATATGAGAAAAAGAGATTGATAGCTACCGAAGTATTTGTGTGCATACCACTGACCGAAGCACATCTTATGTATTGTATAATGCCAGAGTGACCATGCTCCGCTGCTTCAGGTTTCTTTGCCCTTTCATCGTGACCCCTTTTATGGAGGTTTATAAATAGATCTGCCCAACATTTGCCAAAGTCTTTTTCAAGACAGTCTGCAGTTACAGAGTTTTTTGAAAGTTCAGTCAGTGAACCCAGCAGTGGTTTTACATCTGACCATGATAGATACATGTTACAGTGACTACGTTTGCCTGTTTGTAGGTTGTGGAGAGGCCGGATTTGTCAGCCACTGACACCCTCGCAAAGAGCAGCCTGCTGGCTTGCTTGCTGCTTCCCTGGCAGTAACCAGAAGGGTAATCTGGCCTCTCAGCTTTTCTTTTTCAGAGTCACTTCTAAAGTTTGGATTTGGTTATTCTAAATTTTGAATGATTTATCTAAATCTCAGCTATGTTGAAGACCATGCTTCTCTATCAATGCTGGGCCCCAGAGCGATAAGATGTTGCTGCATCCTTTCCTGGGTTTCGAAGGAGGATGAGGGCTACGTCTGTGAGCAAGGCCGTGTCTTTATTGAATTGAATCACTTTATTTCTGTAGGAAAAAGACAGCTATCCAAATCAAGGATTGATGTTGCTGGATGAAATACAGCAGGATTGTCTTGTGAGAGCTTGTTTCACTGGGCGGATGCTGTTAGTTCTAATGGGGAGAAATTTCCTGCAGTTTTCTTTGTTGCAACTTTGATAGCCGCTGTGAGAACAGCCTCACCTCTTTAGACTTTTAAACCCTTAGGAAAACAGACTTGTCTGACCACTGTGGACACGGTGCAAGGAAATTGTTTTTGAGAAGCTATTTTTGAGACATTTGAGAGGCCACGTCTCCCAAGACCACTTCTTCACTTCAAAGCAGAATTATTGCCACAGCAGAAGAGGGTTAATCCAGTCTTTCTTTTTATTTTTTGTTTTTTTCCTGCTGCTCGTCTTCTTGAAGTAGGTTGGGGTAGATAAACATCAAAAGGATAATAGGTTTTTACAAGAATTTCAGGAATAATGTCCTATTACCTAGACCTGAAAGAAATCTTTACCCATATGTCTCGTTGTATTATATTGCAACCTACATAGAGAATTGATAACAGCTGGAGTAGAATCCAGTCTGAAAGGCTGAAATAAATTCGTTGAAGTGATTTAAATAACAATAATAGTGCTGAGTCAGCTAGATACCCATTTACCCCAACAGCCTGTCCCAACTGCCAGTGGCTTGGGCTTCCAGGAAGAAAATGGAAACAGGAGGGTTATGGAGAGACTATCATAGCTTCGTATCTTCTGGCAATTAAGGCTTAGACAAAACCACCATCAAAGGAAGTCCTGCTTCATATTTAAGAGTTGTCCTTGATACCTTTTCATTGGGAAAGGGCTCGTTTTCAGTTTTTTACTTACGCCAGTTTAAGACAGATGGCACTCCAGTATCAGCTGTTACTGTTTGAGCTTTTTTGTTTTGGTTTGGGTTTTTTTTTGTATATTCTCTAAGGGTCCATCACTGGGATTGTTTCAGCAGTAACAGGAAGGAAGAATAAGAGTCTCTGTAATAAATGTTCTTGGCATGCTTAGATACAGAGTTATGTACAGATACCAAGCCTAAACTACTTCTTAGGGAATCAACTCTAGTTCAGTTTTGCAAGATTATAAAGAATAGTCTTTCTACTGGAGAAAGGTCTGTCCTTCAGAATATTTATCCCTGTAGATTTTAATCTCCAGATAAATTAGTTTTTTCTAATTTTAATTTAGTTTGAAGTTAGAAGGTTTCTGTAAACCCTTCATTCCCTGAATACAGTTGAGAAGGAAAACAATCTCTCTGAGCATTCAGAAGAATAGTTTTATGAAGACA